CGTATTTCGCAAGTCGCTTGCCGAGATACTGTATTCCACGTTCAGTACGCACTGCATTGCCAGCAAATCCCCTAACTATGACTTGTTCGTCATCGGTATCGTCGTGATCGGCCGAATCATCATCGCGAATGGAACTTCGGCCAGCATTGAGTCAGAACGGTCAAACGGATAGCGGATAACAAATAGTTGTCTCAATGCAAGCAATTTCAGAGCTTACCGATCTAGAGAAGAGACGCCATTCGGCGCCCCCGGATCCACATGGTGCCTCAATTTGCAAGATGCCCCTTTCTGTGTCTTCTTAGTTGCAGTGTCAATGCTTTCTTTCAAGTAAAGCATGTCTGCTCCAAGGTTGCTGTGTAGACCATGCGTGAGTACGACAAGGTGAACTTTTTTTCGGCGCGCACAGTTTTGCTGAGTGGTATCGAGTCTGTTGGCCCTTTCCACTGATTCCCCGTTCGTTGGTGGTTCATTCGACAGAGATCCAGTGCCGTCAACGGCATCGTATTCCGATGGAAAAGGAGGCTTATTCCAGAGACTGGCGGTGTCATCTATACGTAGACAAACCGATTTCGAAAAAACGCCTTTCGTAGCAACCACTTGCCTGCCTTTCGTTGTGGGCGTTACATGATCCTGCAGGAGAGCTGCCCGGTGAAGCCTGTTGACGGATAACCCACCACTGTAGGGGAGATCAACTGACTCCTCATCACGGCCGATGAGTAGCTCGTAATTGACAATAGCTGTGGTAGAGAAAATGACCTGCGATATTATCTCGATAACCCAGGTCACTTTTTGAGTGCTGTCGGGTGATGCGGGCGTCTCTGGAATCCGATGCAAGCGTTTCGGTATAGGGATCATTGCTTTCCAGCTCCCTCCTGCCTTAAGATAGGGTTCGAACTGAGGGATGCCCTCGTTTTCCTCATCCTGGGAATGGGCATGAGGGTCGAACGTGGAAGGATAACAGGAGGCATAAAGAGTATATGGCCCATGCAGGTACGCAGCCCGCAGTGCGATGGCAGATGTGTTTCTGACCTTGACATGTAGCGCATCTGGTAGAGGATGGACATTGTCAGCAACTGGTGTGTAAGTCACTGTGTATCTGTTTGAGCACAACAGATTAGTATCATGAGTAGAGTATATAGGAACTACACCTGGCGGGACCGAGGAGACGTATAAAGTGAAACAAGAAGACGAACCTGATCGCTTCTCCTACACGGACACTGCCAGCTTGATGCACCAACAACATATCAGTAGCTCTTTTGGTTTGTACTGTGTCTGCTTGCCACCCAGTAATTGAATGAAATCTTAGGGACTTGAATTGTAAGGAAGAAGCTATTTCCTGATCTGGGCTTTGGGAGGTAAGATACAATCGAGGCGTGATGAACATCTGGATTTAGAAAGAATCATCTCTGTTATAGTGTTGACCACAGTTCTTAGGGTCTTCAAGGATATTGTAAAAGCAATGGTTCGAGATTGATAAATCATGGCATTATTATTCAACTATGTAAAAGACGAGAGGTAACCTGAGAACTAGGGGCAGACCAGAATGATTTAGCCTCTTTGCCACGGAGCTGATCTACATAAAGATCATTACAACAGTACGAACAGGGAATAAGGTAAGTTCTGTCTCTAATATAGTTCTTATGGGGGTACAGTACCTTTATATGCACTAAATAACAACTGTCTATTCTTATAATGATTAGGTCTATGTATTATTCTGTACAGAGTTACAGGCCACAGAGTTTGCATATCAGGAACGACCTCCGAGGAGATACCTATAGGTACCGTGAGCTATGGAGTATATCAGGTCTTACAAACCATAAAAATATGGAGTATTTTCTCCCTTTAGTCATGTAATTTCTAGATAAATAACGTTAGTAACTACTCACTGCCAAAGTAGTCAGCCCTTGTCTTCTTTAGTCCTTCCCTATCCACAGAGCTGGTCATGTGAATGGTAATGCGATAAGATATTATTATGTAAGCAGAAAGACCATACATCACATCACCTCTTGTTGCCTCTGGTGAAAGGTAGCTTGTCAGCTTCACACGTACCTTATTACCCACGCACAAACAGAATCCCAGTTGTCCCTGCTTGTTCATTAATAGCAGTACCGACCTCTCTCATAACCCGAATATCATCTCAGCAGGCTGCAGTGGAATTATAGATCACTATGACTCTACCTGCCAGTGATGCAAACTCACAAACTCACACAAGCGCTCACAGAGCTCCACCGATGCGATTTCGTCGTCCTAAAGTTGCAGACCCTTTAGTCAGGCCAAAAAAGAGGGTTATAGCTAGACCGGCAGCCACTTCTGTTCCCTCTGTTGGTAAAGCCACAAAACCAACGACACCTCGTCCAGTAATTTCCAATCTCACGCCCGCGACCCAAGCTGAGAAAGCTGCTCCCGCTCCCTCCCAAAATGATTTCTCAGTGAATGGTTTCAGCGGTCCTTTACTGTCCGAGACTTATGTGGATTATCCCATAGTGATCACAAAGCGATCGTTGCGAGAAGGCTTGAAACATCATATCGCTCGCTTCGCATCCAAGAAGACTATCGATCCTCGTGATGAGTCTCAATTTACTCGACCTGTCAGACTTCAACGCCGAGATCCTAGAGCAAAGACGCAAGAGATGAATCAGGACAAAGGCCAAACCCAGAAGTTGACGCCTCAATCTAGTCACCAGTTAGGCGATGGCGAGAGGGAGGAGCTTGAAGCCAGAAAGGCAGCGAGAGAAAAAGAGCGTGCCGAAAATTTGGCGCAAATAGCCCCTTCCATGGGGTCAGCACCCAAGCGGGCCAATGTTCCGAAACAAAAGACGCAGCAAGTGTCGAAAACAGACATGACACCTGAAGAGGTTGCCAGAGCGCGGATTAAATATGAAGAGGCTTTACCTTGGCATCTCGAAGACTTTGACAACAAGAATATCTGGGTGGGAAACTACGAAGCCGCTCTTTCCGAAACACACGCTGTATTCGTACCCGAGAATGGCAGGATGAGGATGATACCAGTAGAGAAATGGTATAAATTCGGTGCCAAGAGCCAATTTAAAGCTCTAACCATTGAAGAAGCGGAAAGATTTATGGCAAAGAAAATCAAAGATCCCAGGTGGTTTATGGAAAAGCAACAAGAACAAGCACAGCGTAAGGAATTGGAACAATTCGCAAAACAACGGAAGGTTTACGCTGGTAAACAAGGCACCCCGGCAGGTGCTGACGGCCTGGAAGCCGATGAAATGGATTTCGAAGAAGATCGGTTTGCAGATGATGAAGAGCACGATGATCTCTTCAACGAAGACGAGGAGACCAAAACAGCGGAGAAGCGGATTAAACAGGATCAGCTGAAAGCAAACGTCTTTGATTTGAAGGATGAAAAAGACTATGAAGAAGAGGAGCTCAGGGAAAAGAGAGAGCGTGAAGCTCGCCGTATACTTGGCAAGAAGGTCCGCAAAGCGCTAAAAAAACGAGAGAAGAACTACGACTATAGCAGTGGTTCTGATGTCAACCCCTACACTGATGAAGAGGTGTGTTCGTTCGGATTTTATCTGATTATACAGTTATGCTAACGAGTTACATTTAAACTTAGAGCTCTGACGATAGCGAAGCTGAACGATTACGGGAAGAGGAGCGAAAAGCTGAAGAGGACAAAAACAAGAAGGATTCAGCTCCCTCGACAAGGGGAAATGTTACCCCATCTGGCCGTCCGAAGCACACTGAACCCTTGAAGAAGGCCCCAGGCGCAGCGTCGCGGAAACGGCTTGGCTCTCCAAATGTATCAGATGCAAGTGGCACAGATACCTCTCGCAAAAAGGCAAAGAGCAAGCATCCTTCTTCTCAACCTACGCCCCAGCCAACTTCTCGTGCCCTGTCGCCAACTGCGCCTCCAGGACAAGTGAGTTACTCCAACCGTAACTGTCTGTTCATTGCACTCATTTTTCATCGGTACAGGTTGGTAAGAAACGCATCCGAAACGTCGTAAGTGGTGCGGGATCGGTTAGCGATGCTGATGGAGGAGCCGGCTCTGGAGGGGAGATGAGTGAAGGCGGAAAAATCAAGAAGTTGAAGCTTAACCCACCTGCAGCAACATCACAAGGCGGAACGCCTCAAGGATCCAGGGCAGGCAGTCCAACTCCTATAGGCAGTAAGGGTCTCGCCGCAAGTCGTGCTAGCAGTCCCGAGTCACAGAGAGGTAAGATCTCACTCGATGTTCATGTTTTCACTGCTGCCTGTCTATCTATAGCTACTAACTTGTGCATGCAGGGCAAAATCGCATTTCTACACCGGTACCTTCCGGGACTCTAAGCTTCCCAACTCCAGCAGAAATCCATGCGGCTATACCTCAAACTGGTATACTAAGCAGTGATCTTCTGAAGATTTTTCGGCCTCGCATAGGCGAGTCGAAGGAGAATCACCGCAAGTTCATTGCAATAGTCAAGGATGTCGGGGTGTACGGAAAGGAGGACCGGCTATTGCGACCAGGTGTACTGAAGGATGGTCAAAGATAAATGAGGCTGACAACGCTGAGACGCATTGATTCTTCAGGGCCTTTGTAATTCAGGGGGTCTATGGCCCAGTCACGCCCAATGCACACTTCTGGAGTCTTCAACATGAGTATCGAGCGCCCGCAAGGCTATCCTTAGTTCTTCCCTTTCTTACCTACATGTGTGGACATCTATAGAGTGAGCAAATTTTCGTCACCGCTTGCGTAAGATCCGACAACGCTTACTGTTGACTTGGTACTTAATCTGTCGATATGGCGACATAACGGCGTTTTAGAGCGTTGCCATAGTCGACCAAACTACTCCGTATAGCGATATAATCAAGCTTTACAGACCATGATATGAAGGACAAAATATAATGTCATTAAACCTAAATACAGAAATCTATTATGTTGGGCTATCATACGAGATGCGTAGACGACGGCACCGAGAAGCAGAACCTAACGCTAAGGAAGCATAGCATGAAAAGGCCAGGACTCTTTAATAGCGTCTCCTGTCAACTTTTCAGGCGGTGGTGGTGCCTGTGGTGCGTGAAGTGTTCTCACCTCCCTCTTCATACTTGTCCCAATTTGCCAGGATATGGGCAATGCGAGGAGAGTTTGTGAGTCGGTACACATCCTCGAAATACTCCTTTGTGATCTCGAATGGGCGGGCAGTGACATTTGGAATATATTTGCGAATCAACTTGCTCGGATCAATGGTAGTTTTGTTGATCTTCTTCAGCAGGAATGACCGGAAAGGCTTGACGCCGGAGCGAAGGAAGGTGCTGTGGAAAGGCACGTCGATTCCTTTCAGCGGAATAGTTGCGAAGCCTCGCTCCAAGGTTATCGGCCTGGGCTTCGACTCGGTTTGTTTGACACATTCATGAATGATCTTGACAAGGTGAGCCTTCAAGTCATCCAAGGACATGCTCTGCATTAATGCTGGAATGTCGATATTTTGAGCCTTGAGATAGTTGAGCAGATTTGTAAGGCAATCAAGAGCGCGGAGCTGTCGAAGTTAGAATGCTGAGATATTGAGGAGGAAGAAAGGGAGAAACACTTACATCTCCAGCAGCAACATACTGCATATTTGCGACATTGTAGTTGACAATTTCCAATAGCCAACCTGTTTGCTCAGCAATGTTCTCAACAACGTACTGCAAGGCTTGTTCATTGAATGTCTTTGAGATGCGACTTGGGTTGACGGCGCACATAGAGTAGTTCGAACGTCCTTGTTCATCTCTTTCGACAGCAACCTGCATAGTCAAACCACGATAGAACACGACGGAAACCAGACTCTCAATAGGCATGACATCCGCAAGAGCGGCGAGAGCGGAGTATTCACCCAGGGAATGACCAGCGAAGCTGCTATCTCTTTGGACGAGACCCTTGGAGCGCATATCCTCGAAACTTGCCTTTTCCATCAGTGTCAGTGCCGGTTGCGTGAACTGAGTTGCAGAGAGCAATCCAGACGGCGACCGATATGTGTATGATGTCGTGTCCTCATTGATTTCTTTGAAGATCTTCTCAGACTTGATCGTGCCATCCGCGTTCACTGTCTCGAAAGTCATCGACATGTAGTTCTGGCGAATGGCTTTTCCACGCGGACCACCAAAGTAGACAGTGAGCTCCTTAGGATTGTTTTTGACGATATCAATGATGGACAAGCCGTAGTTCTCGATAAAATGACGATCTGCCCGATCCCAAACCTCCCTGGCGACAGGGCTGCTACTGTACAGCTCCATACCCATTCCCTGCTCCTGAGAGCCCTGTCCGGTGAAGACGTAGGAGGTTACTGGTTGCTCGACTTCGGCTTCGCCCAGAAGAACCTTGTCTTCTGTTTCCTTGTTGCTGGCCTCAACCTTAATGATTTTACGGCCAGCCACCATACCGACATGCTGTAACTTCACGGTGATCACATCATTGGGGAGGACCATACCGACGAGGGACACATGGAAGCCTCGAACACGGCCGATATTGTTTTCAGCGGCCCAGGTCTCGACGAAACTGCGAACAGCGGCGCTGGTATACATGCCATGTGTGATGGTCCCCGGAAGATTGGCATAGCTAGAGAAAACACGAGAGACGTGAATTGGATTGTAATCGCCTGAAACTCGAGCATATGTTTCATTGGATGCCGGTGCGCGCAAAACGAGTGGTGTCTTTCCGCTCAACGGAATAGGGTTTTCGAAATAGACCGGTTGTTCTATGGACGTACCATTGCGTTGAAGATAGTCAATGACCGGATTACCATGAGAAGTTCCGGTCTCGTAGTCCACTGTTGCAACCTGAATGACTTCCTTTGTGGGAAGTTCAAGCAGCACCTGGCCGACTGTCTGAACGTGGCTGAATACGGATTTATTCTTAAACCGGATCAAGCTCTGGAGACGGAAAGTGAGAGTTTGACCTAACAATTCGACGTCGGGTTCGTCTAGGCGGAACCACTCTTTCGACCGTAGAATTGCAACATCCCTGCTTGAAGTAAGGTGAACTTGCATGGGAACCTCGTCCTTGCGCTGGAAGGTGTTCTCAAAATCCAGGTACGATCCTCGGTATAGGAATTGGCTGGTGACATGCATGATTGGTTGACCGTCTCTGTGAATTGTACCGCATACTTCAACCATTTTCCCGGAATCTTGGTTGATCACAGCATTGATTTGGGCAGTTGTGTCCAACACATCTCCAACCTTCAAAGGTTGAGCACCAGGGACCATTTTGAATCCGTTCGAGAGATGGACCAGTTTCAAAAGATCCCCGTCGATTGTCCGAGGGAAGATGGGCTTGGTGATGGCTTGCCAGCCAACAACAATGGCAAAGTCCATGGGAGCGAAGACTTCCTTTCCGGGCCTATCAACGAAGGCCTCCCCGGTATTGCCAACAGCGTGCACAAAGTCAGCGACAGCTTGGGCAGTGATAGTCTCTCGACCACCACTAAATGTTGCCGTGGTAGGGGTGTCAAAAGGGACATCCTTGCTACCAAACCAGACCCGATAATAGAACTCCTTAATGCGATCGTTGCGACCATCCATGACTTCCCAGATGGGTGCATAGCCGGCCTCGGGATGGTACGTGAACAAGAAGCTTAAAGGCACAACACCACCCTCTGCAGTTCTGCCTTCGAAGAGTGTGAGACTGATTTGACCTTGGTCGTTGACCTTCACCTCCACGGTCTTGACGAGTTTTCCGGATTGATAAGGCTCTCTCACACAGATGGTGGTCTTGGATGGTTCCTCTGGATACGAGACCTCCACGTACATCCCTGGAGTGGGTGCGACAATCCGCCTCATCGGGTTTGTCTGGAAACGGTGACCTTGAACAAAGACGTCTGCCAAGAAGAGAGCGTGCCTCCAAGAGTATGATTTGCCAGCAAGGAGGCGCAACCACAGGTCAAGATCAGGAAGATCGCCTGAAGGAGACGATGATAGACGATAGCTGATTTTGTTCGTATCTTCAGAGATTGTAAGCCCGTCGATGTCTAGCTCACTGACGGCTTCGTGAAGCCGGCCTCCGAAGTACTCAATGACAGGGATCTTGGACTCGTCACCGCCATAGACATCCTGGAGAAGACCCTTAATGTGACCCTGATGAATACCATCCAGAATTTGTTGGACAGGCTCGTCTATGGTGTTGGAAAATCTAGCTGCCATTGGACCTTGCAAAATACAGGTCCTTCCGACATCTTGCCCAACCACGGCCTCCAAATCCTCACTCTGCCAAAGAGAGTCCTTCTTGAACCAATACTCAAAGTTCTCGTCCAGTGCCGGCACAAATGGAACAGGCTTTTGTCCGCGCCGCTGACAAAGCAAAAGGAAATGATGAACATCCTGCGCATTGATTAATTGAGTAGCCGCTTCAGGGTAAGCTGCTAAGATGTTGTTAATCGCCGGATAAGGAGTATCGAGCTCGGAATAGTTTTGCAGCAGAGAAGCCTGCCCTTCCTCGGTTGTGAATCGTTCCTCGACGCGACGGATGAAATCGCCAGTCAATTTCTTCAAAGAAGCATCAATCCAGCGCGATTCATGCTTGACATACATGAGTTCTACCATGCGATGAACCACCTCGGCGTACGTCATGTCTTCAAGATCGACCGCCTCACCAGCGGCATTACGACCGAACCATACTTTTTGAAAGTCGTCGTTGAGTTTCTTAATGATATAATCACGTTGCTTCTTGAGTTCTGGCACGCGCTTCGCCTTGTCAAGTTTGAAGATTTTCTGGTCCATCTCGTGCCAGAACAGAACGCCTCTTGTCGCCAACTTATGAATGGGTTCACCCATCTCGGAAAGAACGGTGACCACACCGCCAGCGGGACCCTTGTAAGTCTTCTCCCAATCTTTGTCATCAAGACCGGGGGCGTCAGCAATTGCCTTCTTAGCATTCTTAGATGTGTGCGCTTCTTTCGCAATCATCAGACGACTACCAAAGAGGCACCCGTCGAATGGCATCGGGGGATATCCGAAGCTCGACGACCATGCTCCAGAGAGATAAGGGTAAGTGTCCTCAGCACCACCGAAGCCACTGCCAGCGACAAGGACAATGTTCTCACACCGTCTGATGCGGCTATACATTTGTAAAATGGGTTGGTGAAAGTCTTCAAAGGAATGATGACCACCACCACGACCACCGGTCCACTGAAGGATGACAGGAAATTTCGGGTTGGCTTTAGCGATATTGATGACCTGCTGAATAGCATCCACTGAGCCTGGTTTGAAGGCTATATGCTTGATTCCCAGTGTTTCAATGTATTCGTTAGCAACTTCAATGGAAGGAACACCGGCGCCAATTGTGAGGCCTTCGATGGGTACACCGTCGGCCCTCAATTTTCCGATGAGGGGAATTTGCCAAGTCATAGCTCGAGGGTTGACGTAGATCAAGTTGACAGTAATACCACGCCCAGGAGGAATGGTCTTTTCGATCTTGGAGATGGCGTCTGTCATGCTCTTTCCGTTATAGTAACCACCACCAGCAAGTTCAATGTGGTATCCCGCATTCATTGTTGCGGCAACGAAGTCCCAGGGTACCGTAGTCGGTGTCATACCGGCTACCATTATGGGAGGGATGCCCAGAAGACGGCTCATTTTGGTATCGACAAATGTCTGGCCCGTTGCGTTCTTCACAAGACGGGGGCCGTACTCTTTGACCCAATCAATGGCATATTTCACAGAGTGCTCGTCGCGGTCAAACAGCTCAGGTTTGTATCCGACCTCGGCGTTGGTGCCATCCATAGCCCCAGCGAGGATCACTCGGACTCCAGTACCATCCTTGTTGCGGTTCGTAAGAACACCAAGACCTGAGATACCGCCAGGACCGAAATCGACGATGTGAGTGGCCCCTTGGAAGACAGTTGCCTTCTCCCAGTTGACTGCATCATGGGTGATCATGCGAACCAGAGAAGGAACAATATTGGCGTCGCCACTTTGCCGGAGATCGTCGCCCGTCTTAGTGTCGTAAACAGGGATCGCAAGGGACTTAGCTGAGATTTCAATGTCCTCCAAGTCCTCAAGGATACGGTCGTACGCTGCGTAGAGGTACTGGCTGTGGAATGGCGCAGTTATTGGCAAGAATCTGTTGACGAAGCGAACCTTGCGCTGCGTAAACGGAACCCGGTTTTGATCCAGGCCAGTGGGCGACTTGACTTTGCGTAGGCGAAGGTTGAGACCGTAGAGGGACAGAGGGGGTCCAGTGACCACAAAATTGCGAGCGCTGTTAACCAAGGAGATAGAGATATGACGATCGGCAGGAAGATGCTGATTGGTGGTATCAATGTGTTCCTGGACAGCAGATCTTGGCAGATCTCGAATGGACAACATAGGGGTTGGGGCTCCTTCCCCGTTCTCAATCGAATCCTGCAGCACGGAAGGGGCAATAGAAGTCCGCGGGTAAGCCTGCTGACTGCGAAGACCAATCCAGAAGAGCATCGTCAAGGCATCTTTGGCCGCTTTCTCGAAACTCTCCCATGTCGTTGCCGAGGCAATCGCTGCGGCGGTGACCACACCTTGAGAGTGACCTGTAGTGCCGCTGAACCGCTCTAGAATCTCACCAGGCTGCCGACCTAGAACCTTGCAGGTAACCACAAAATGGGCTAATTGGACTAATCCAATTAATGGCAAACTCACAGGAGCTGCCACAAGGTAGTCGGTGTCGGGCTGGGAGTCGGGATCCTGGAGCCACTGGATGACGTCCAGTCCTTTGGGATAGAGCTTGCTAGCCTCCGGTTCACGGGAAAGTTGTTGCAAAAGGTCAGCAGACGAAGAGATCAAATCCTCCACGAAAGATGGGTAAGTCGTGTAGATTTCCCTCAGCTCATCGAAGTACTCTTCAATGTTGCCCTGACCACCGAAGACTGAGTAAATGCTGGCTTTTTCTTCGGAGGCGGCTCGAAATAGCGCAGATTCATAAGGCTTGGTGGGCCGTCCGGCGGCGGCCCTTCCGGCATAATAGGCCTCAACAACCAAGACTTTCTTGGCAGTAATACCCGGGAGAGCGGCTGCAACGGCATGGACATCATTTCCGCGCATGAAGGCTCTTTCGAACTCGTTAAGAGCTAGCTTCAGGACTTCCAGACAGGTTCCCTGTGCATCGTCCTCGCCCTCTTCGACCTCGCAAGCAACGTGACCGATATACCGTGCTACAAGCTCGGCCACCGAGGAGGGCTCATCGTCCTGAGCAAGCTCATCTGTCGGTTGTGGGAGGGATGCCGTAAACGTATCTTTTAATTGTGAAGCAAAGAAATGGAGGGATGTAGGCACGAGGAAGGAAAACTCGAGTGACCCATGAGTCAGAATAAGTGGCCGCAGTGACTGAGAGGAGCGTGGCGTGTTGATGCCCGTCTGGGGGCCCGTCGATGCTCCGTACATTTTATCGTACTCTTATGTCTATCCCAATGGAGCCGAAGATGGTCGTCGAATTCGCGCGGACACAACGGAATTCTGCAATTGACCAGATATCAGAAAGGAAAGTCAAACAAAAGCTGTGTGTATGTCTCGTTTCCGCTCAGTCCTGCAGTCCATCATTGAACCACAGCTGACACTTTCTGTATTTTCTTCCCTCCTCTTCTTTAAAATTCTCCCTTTCCATTTTCTTGTACGATTCCCCCACCAAAAATCAATAGGACGACCGGAGGTCTGTGTCAATGCTTACCTGTTGCTCCAAAATCTGTCTGCAATGCTGGATGACGCTAGCTTTGATTTCACATTAACTGGGTCGTCGTCCAGTAATTGGGAAAAAATAGAAGAAAATGAAATCAGGGGAACAACAAATCGTGGTAAAAGAAGGAATTAAAAAATTTACAGCATGGAGATGAAGGAGCATAAAACAATATACTCCCGTCACTGTCAAGAGTCAAGAGAAGACGTAGATGCGGGCTGGGTGGGAAAAAAAAAAGACTGTAGAGAGACCACAGCTTTGGCGTCCGTATTCAGTATTCAAGAAATCGGATTGATGGAGAGACGCACTAGGTGAGACTCCCCTGGGTACTACACTCCAAATCGAAATAACGAATTACCCACTCCGTACTCCGTACTCTGTAGTAGATTTCCTCTGGTAAGTACTCACTAGTGTGCCTACAACACGGTCCATCATCCAACAAGATGTCCCGAAATGATAATGTCAGGCATGCGGGCTGGATCCCTACAAACATCAATACGTTGAACCGGCCGGAAGGAGGGGGGACAAAGCCGAGATTTTGGGGCTGGTTGAACAGGAAGTGGCCCAATGAGGCATGGCGGGTCATGCAGCCTCCCCAAAGGTCCAACGGAAATGGTTGGGTTGAACCCGATAAGGTTATGACAATACATGACATGACATAACATGAAGTGGAAATCGGCCAGGACGAGACTTGACGGCAAGCCGACTATCGAATGTAAGTAGTAGTAGAAAGGTACGGGATGAGATTCACTACTCCCGTAAGACTCTCTTAACTTGTTTATAAGCTAAATAAAGATAGAGCGCTCTATTCAGTGTGATGTATTTTCACAGTGAGTGAGCCTTTACCTGTGTAGTGAGTAATTACGGACCTCAGCCATTCTTGAAATAAATCTTCTTCAAAGGTAAGGTAGTATCATTTGTACCGTGGTTGGGTGCGGTTCGAAATATGTTGGAAGCTTACCAGTTAGATACAGGGACTTCATGAATTACTAACTCTACCTAAGTAAGGTACTAGACGAAGCGGTAGGGTACAATGTTCATAATCATAATGGTAGACGTTTTTTCCATTGAGATGCTTATACATGTACATATTACTCAATTGCAACTTAATAATAATAGCCTTATATCCATTGAAGACTTATCCGGCATTCTCCCACCAAACCTAAGGCAATAGGTTGTAGTTCAACAATATCCAAAGGGTACATGGCTGCCTTTAGTGCTATCATTGACGATTTAGTTCCAGGCCATCGAAATATAGAGAAGCGACGTGTTACTCTAAACTTCGTACCTTAAATGTAGAAATATAGGAAGCTTTATCTACTTTATCCTAGGCTCCTTAGCTTAGCTGTGGACTAGTACTAGGTAGGTGCTGCGTAAATCCATGTAGGCGCGATCCACCCTGTCAACCAACCCGCCCCAACACTCACCAAATACTCACCAGTACTCGGTAATTAATGTCTTTTTCTCATCCACATTATTTTCGAACATCCACTGGACAGGTTTACTACTAGGAGTCTAACAGAGTACTCCATACACATTTATTTTCCCTTCCATGTGTAATTTATAAAATTGTGTTTCTACCTTTTTATTACGATTTTCTTGCGCCTTGAGTCTTTTCTGTACTCTATGCAAGCATGTCAAAACTGACAATAAATTATTTCACTGCTACCTAAGTTTTCTGGGTAATTGCATTAATGAAGTTACTGTACCCCACCATTTATGGTACGGTTCCAAGCTGGGGTGAGTTTCATGTCTCTTACCATCCTTACCGTTTCTATTATTCTAGCTCTGCTTCGCCGACAAAATTTCCATCCGCTCCGTATCTATCAATGTTCAAATTCTAAACAGAGGGACATTAGAGCATGCTTTCTCTGTAGCATCACCTTGCCCTTCTTCCTACTTTGCTTTTACCCTTTTCTTTTTGTTTTCAACCCTTGCCAACTTCGGTCATTTCACTCCAAGGTTGTTGACTTCTTTATACAAATTACTAGTTATTAATTGAGAGTCCCATTCCTCCGTCGGTGGTCGTCGACGTCGGTTTCTTTTGAAGCAGTTGCTCGCAGAGCAACGGCCGTATTACGAACCCATTTCACGTTATTGATCAGTGCTTCCGGCATTTGGTCATCCGCTTCCGCCTGTACCTTTCACCTCTTCATCGTAGTTGATACCTACTTGACCAGTCATGCGGCCTGAAATTGAACAAGAACTCGCCCACACCTTACTGGTTGAGCTTCTGGCTTACCAGTTTGCGTCCCCGGTGCGATGGATCGAAACGCAGGATGTCATTCTTGCAGAAAAGCGAACAGAGCGGATTGTGGAAATCGGTCCCGCCGACACCTTGGGGGGGATGGCAAGGAGGACGCTCGCGTCGAAATATGAAGCGTATGACGCTGCCACCTCGGTGCAACGGCAAATTCTCTGCTACAACAAGGATTCCAAGGAAATTTACTACGACGTGGATCCTGTCGAAGAAGAAGCAGAGGCTCCAGCTGCCTCACCTGCAGCTTCAGCCCCTGCAGTCCCAGCTGCAGCTGCAGCTCCAGCTCCTACCGCAGTTGCCCCCACTCCCAGCGCCGGACCAGCAGCAGCAGTCGACGATATCCCAGTCACGGCGGTCGATGTGCTGCGGACACTAGTCGCACAAAAGTTGAAGAAGGGCTTATCCGACGTTCCTCTCAGCAAAGCCATCAAAGATCTGGTTGGAGGTACGTTTCAATTCCTTTGTTCTAAACCCGTGATGCAACTGAACTTTTGGAACTCATCACCTCTATTTTCTACTGAACAGGCAAGTCCACGTTACAGAATGAGATACTGGGAGACTTGGGCAAGGAGTTCGGGTCCACGCCGGAGAAACCTGAAGACACACCCTTGGATGAATTGGGTGCCTCGATGCAGGCGACCTTCAATGGCCAATTGGGCAAGCAGTCCTCGTCTCTCATTGCTCGCCTAGTCTCGTCAAAAATGCCCGGAGGTTTTAACATTACCGCTGTTCGGAAACATCTGGAAACAAGGTGGGGCCTGGGTCCCGGCAGGCAAGATGGCGTCCTCCTGCTCGCCCTCACAATGGAGCCTCCTTCCCGAATTGGATCGGAGCCGGATGCGAAGGCATATCTCGATGACGTTACCAACAAATATGCCGCCAATGCAGGAATCAATCTCTCTGCTCCTACAGCTGGCAGCGACAGTGGGTCCGGTGCTGGTGGCATGCTCATGGACCCAGCCGCCATCGATGCTTTGACAAAAGATCAACGGGCACTGTTCAAGCAGCAACTGGAGATCATTGCGCGCTACTTGAAGATGGACCTGCGTGCGGGCCAGAAGGCATTCATCGCTTCCCAAGAAACTCAAAATGCGCTGCAAGCACAGCTTGATCTCTGGCAAGCAGAACATGGTGACGTGTACGCGTCTGGTATCGAGCCGGCTTTCGATTCGCTAAAGGCTCGCGTCTATGATTCGTCTTGGAACTGGGCTCGTCAGGATGCCTTGAGCATGTTTTACGACATTATCTTTGGACGGCTCAAGGTTGTCGACCGTGAAATCGTCAGCCAGTGTATCCGCATCATGAACCGCTCCAATCCTCTCCTACTTGATTATATGCAGTACCACATCGACAATTGTCCTACTGAGCGCGGCGAAACGTATCAGCTGGCGAAGGAGCTGGGACAACAACTTATCGAGAATTGCAAGGAGGTTCTCGGAGTCGCCCCCGTTTATAAGGATGTTGCGATCCCCACCGGGCCCCAGACAACAATCGACGCCCGAGGTAATATTGCGTATAAGGAGGTGCCTCGGGCGAGCGCCAGGAAATTGGAGCATTACGTCAAGCAGATGGCTGAGGGCGGTCCCATCTCTGAATACAGTAACCGGACCAAAGTGCAGAATGACCTCAAAAGTGTCTACAAGCTGATTCGTAAGCAACATCGCATGTCCAAGTCATCCCAGCTTCAGTTCAATGCGCTTTACAAGGAAGTCATTCGCGCTCTCAGCATGAACGAGAACCAAATCATGCCACAGGAGAATGGCCACGCCAAGAAAACTGGTCGGAACGGTGTCAAGCGCAATGGCAGCCCTAGAGCTGGTAAGGTGGAAACTATACCTTTCCTACACCTCAAGAAGAAGCATGAGCACGGGTGGGAATACAACAAGAAGCTCACAGGTATCTACTTGGACGTGCTCGAGTCCGCTGCTCGGTCGGGTTTGACCTTCCAGGGCAAGAATGTCCTGATGACTGGTGCTGGTGCTGGCTCTATTGGAGCTGAGGTTCTACAAGGTCTGATTAGCGGTGGTGCCAAGGTGATTGTAACAACTAGCCGATTTTCCCGTGAAGTCACCGAATACTACCAAGCCATGTATGCTCGTTATGGTGCGCGTGGTTCTCAACTCGTCGTGGTGCCATTCAACCAAGGCAGCAAGCAGGATGTGGAAGCTTTGGTTGACTATATCTACGATACAAAGAAGGGTCTTGGCTGGGACCTGGACTTTGTCGTGCCGTTTGCCGCGATTCCGGAAAATGGCCGGGAAATTGACTCTATCGATTCTAAATCCGAACTTGCCCATCGCATCATGTTGACCAATCTTCTGCGACTCCTGGGTTGCATCAAGACCCAGAAGCAGACCCATGGCTTTGAGACCCGACCAGCACAGGTCATCCTTCCCTTGTCTCCAAACCACGGCACCTTTGGGAACGACGGTCTGTACTCTGAGTCCAAGC